GACCTTCTTTGATGCCTGCCCTTATACGTGTTTGAGTAGAACTCTCAATGCTGTATGACGCATCTAAACCCCACAGATCTCTTAACTGTGATATTCGTTTTGCGGACCATAACAGAACTTCATATTTTTTGGCAACTACATATAAGAATGTAATTGAACATTACGTATATCACAGAAACTACGGCTGTAAGAACAATAGACAGGGAAATTTTTAATGTAATGTGTATTCAATTTAAATCCAAACAAATTGCTTTTTCTGACCATGGATGAATGTTACAATTATAATAGTTTTCTCCGTATGGAAACAGAACACGCGACAATCGATGTCAACGTGTTCAGATCCTAAACTGTATTAACACCTTAAGTAGTATGCCCCAAAAAGTTCCGTAAAATATTAAATTTCTTTTGATTTAAACTATTAGTGTTAGTGTATCTTTTTAACTCATAACAAATACAAATTAGATATATTTTGATTATTTTATTAGATATTCTATTTTTTTCAAATTTTTCGAAGAAAATAACAACAAAGGGAAAGAAAATTAATGTTAAATGTTTTTATTAAAAAAACTGCCTTATGGAAGAAATCGCATAACCATTTTAAATCATCACTGAGAAGGTTAAGTCTTCTAGATATTCAATCAACAAAAATTAATTGTAGGTAATAAAAGCCGCGTAAGGATGTTGGTAGCAAATAATAATCAAACTGTACAAGAGAAAAAGAAAGAGAGAGAGAGAGCACAAGGATCTTTTTTGGAAGGAGTGGAGGTTGATTAAATTTCAGCGTTAAAAACGGGTGACAAGGTATTTCCAGGTAGAAATAGCTCGCAGTTTCCTATCGCGTAAGTTATTAATGCGACTATGATTGATACGGTGCAACGAGTATCGGCAATTGTGCTGCTTGCCGGCTATTATTGCGACATGCTGTTTCAATAATACCAATTATTGTTTCATTATTAATAATACGCACGTATTTGAACGTGGTAATGATGACACTCTGTAAGCTTATTTCGAGCCTTCATCATAATCGGCCGGCATTATCATAATTACTCTTAAACGATCGATCTCGGCACGTGCGTATTTAACGATGCAAGTATCGCGCTGGAACATGTAGGGTACGTCCCAAGTGCCATAATAAATCCCGGATTCTTTGCGATTGATAATTGACAAGTGTCACAAAGCCAGATTCTCCCTCAAATCACTGCATATACTGTTAACATTACTTTACGACCAAAGAATGTCCCAAGTTGAACACCACGGGGTTGCAGTGAAATTTTTATTAAATTTCACTCGATACTCGGAAGGAAACTGCTCGAGCTGTAGCAAGCTCACTACCAGCTACCTACGGTTAAAGCGTGAAGCCAACAAATTTACATTCACGAGGTAGGCGAGACCGAGGAACTTACTGGGAGTTTAAAAATTTTTAGCTCGCACGCCAAGAGCGGGGTAAAATTTGCGAGGAATTTGTTTAAGGGTTGAGAACAATCTCGCACGCGAGCGTGCGCAAGGAAGAAAGAGAGAAGAACTCTCTTTTTCGAGCAAGCACGTGCGCGGGGGTAGAGGATGGTAGGGAGT